CGAGAGGTGCAGGAGAAGATCGAGCAGAAGTATGACGCCGACCTGGAGAACAAGCTGGTGGACTGGATCATCCTGCAGTGTGCCGAGGACATTGAGCACCCGACCCCGGGCAGGGCCCATTTTCAGCAGTGGTTAATGGACGGGACGGTAAGGACGGAGAGGTCTCGGTGGCTGGGCAGCGGGCAGGCAAATCCTCCAGGGCCTTCTCTTTTCACGTGAGGCTGCTGCTGCTCCCAAGCTCCGTGTCTCCCGGGGTGGGGATGGAAATGCCTTTATTTCTTTGGGGTTGGAAAATCTGGGCTCCCTGCTCAATTCCCTAGCTAGTTCTGGGGATTCTCCACCCATCGGAACCATCGCAGCCGCCTTCTGAGTTGTTGGCAAATCTAAAGCCCTTTTGCTCTTCCCAGCGAGAATAGAGGTAAGTATTTCCTTGAGATCTCTCCAGCCTTTTTGGTGCATCAGCTCATCTGGGGGGGGGGGGCATTCCTTCCCCAGGGGAATGGGTTGGTTTTACACAGTAAAACAAAGGGCGGGGGAGGGCTAACACCATCCTTCCAGGAGCCATGCTCCACGGGGTGCTCCACGTCTGTCTGTTGAATGGAGGGGCTCTCAGAAAACTGATAACTGCTTCTCTGACCAGATGCTCCTGTGTGTTTGGGGAATGGAGGACGGCAGGCTCTGCCACTCAAACAAGCCCATCTTTTTCCTACGGGGTGTGATTAACTGTTGTTACATAACTGCTATCCCAAGCTTCTCTTAGGTTGCACAGGACTTGTGTTAGAGGTCTCTGGGAGGAGGTTCCCCAGTTCAGTTCTTGTCCACATCATTAGCACATATGGGATGAGTTATTCAATAGAAGCCTGATTCGGATCTGTCTTTTGATAGAAGAAATAATGTTAGACTCTATCATTTGACTTCCCCCGGTTCCACTAGCTCATCCCTGCATTGCATGTCTGGAATTATGACCTAGTCCCTGCACATCGTTCTCTACTTGTAAACATTCTTTCCCTCGCCCAGAAAAAGGAAGGGTGGAGCAAGGTGGGAGAGGGGTTCGCAGGCTACTGAACTCTCTGCGGTCAGCAACAGCCCTGGAAATGGGTTCGGTTACCTGGGTCTTCAGGGTTCGGTGTGGGAGCCTAGCCACCCAGCCTACAGCCCGTGCCCTTCCTGGGGCCCAAGACTGGCCTGTGTCCAAACCTGTAAGCTGGGACCTGTGGGGACTAGGATTCACTTTGCATTAGTGACCGGGGAGATACAAAGGGAAACATTGATTATAACCTCCCCTTCCCCCCTTCAGGTCCTATGCAAGCTAATAAACAGTTTATACCCACCCGGACAAGAACCCATTGCCAAGATCTCAGAGTCCAAGATGGCTTTTAAGCAGATGGAGCAAATCTCCCAGTTCCTAAAAGCTGCGGAGATCTATGGCGTCAGGACCACCGATATTTTTCAGACAGTGGATTTATGGGAAGGTAAACAGCCCTGTGCCTTTGGAATTGTTCTCCCCTTCCCCTCCCATTGCCCATCTCTTTGTGAAACCTGCTCGCAGTGTTTTTCCCTGAGTCTCCGGGTGTGTTTGTGTGTGTGGGGGGGAGGGGGCGTGAGGAGGGGGATTGCCAGCTGTCACCCGGGGGTGCTGTTAGCCTCTCCTTTATGATACTCTATTGAAAGGGGTATCTTCCTCTAAGGGAATGCACACCCCAGGACACAGCGGGGACCTCAGCAAACTAAGGAGTAAACAGAAGCCTCCATGGAGAGGAAGCTAAAACGGTTACATGGATGCCTTTCATTCCTGGTACCCCTCCCACAATGTACTCTTTCTGAACAAATGATAGCTTCTGGAAGAGGGGTGGGGGGATGAGTGTGCTTCTGACTCACCAGCAGCAGGGCTCATAGACAAAGCCGCCTGGTGCAATTTTGTTATTCAATCTGTGAAATAAATAGCACCCCAACCTTTTATTAAACTATTATCTGGGAGCTTAGTGACTCTACTTTCCAGATATGCATTCCCTCCGAGAGCATGACAAATGATGTTTTCTTTCACATTTGTGAATTGCCTGGATTATGAAATCTTAAGAAGCATAAAAGTCAAATGATATTTCTTAACATATATAATAATCCGTCATTATTGAGGGGAAATGCCACGAATGGAGATACTGCCAGAAAATTTAGGACCCACAGTCCTAGTGCATCATGTCCCCCCTAAGCCCAAATGTAGGTGCCCATCCATGCCATTCTTCATACCAGGCCTGCCTGGGCATGGGGAGATACAGACCAGTCCAAGCAGGGTTGACAGGTTGACTACTCTGTCATGCTCAATTTCACTGGCTGTCATCAGTGGCCCAACCAATAGGATTCCTGGGTCTGTGACCCAAATGGTTCTGCTGACGGTGAGAATAGGGTAACTCTCCTGTGATTAATAGACAATGATGTTCTAAGGGACCTTCAGATGATGGTTGAAATAAATTTCTAGCAGAGGACCATTCTACTAAACAATTTATAAAGAAGCATTTACATCCTTAATCCTCATACTCCCTCTGTGTCAGGCAGAAAGCTTGCATTTCCTGTTTCCTTGACAGATGAGTTATGAAGTTCAAATCCTAAGTAGTTCAAATCCTAAGACGACAATCAGTTTTCCTTGGTTTTGCAATTACTTAGAAACTCAGGTATCCAGACCTTTATTTAGTCCAGGCCATTGACTTCATGGACTCTTACCTCCAAATCCCCAGGGAATGTCACAGTTGAGACTTGTTCCCTTCTTTTTAGATCAAAACTACGATGATTGTCTCCAGCTAATTAAGATAGCTACTGCTTATTGACATTTTCCTATATGCTAAGCATGGTTCAAGTGCTTTACTTCATAATACCAGTCAATTCTCTTACTATTTGGTGAGGTAAGTGTTATGAACTTGCTCATTTCACAGATGACAAAACTGGAGCTTGCCTGTGATTATATGTGTATATCATATGGCTACTTAGTAATTAGCACAGCCAGGACTCAAGCCCAGGTGCTCTGATGCCAGAAAATGAGGCCTTAACTAGTCTGCCGTGCCAAGCTTTGGCCAGTAGGTTATTGCCTTCATCTATACCATGAGCGTGCTGTGGGGTCATAATGGTGACTGATGAGATAAAGAGGAAGAGGAGGATCAGGGCTGTATGGGACTAAGAGCTAGAGCCCCTGCACTAACTAGGATTTGTGTGAATGAAAGTGGCCCCATGAGCCCCCCCCAAGTACAGGAGGTGGAGGCGAAGAAACTGGGTGGTGTGTGGAAGGTGTGGATCCCTAGAGTGCTTTCCTGTCTTTCCGTTACTGAGGATGCTTTGCTTGCCTTTCCTCTTTTTCCAAAAACCATGCAAATAAATGAACTTTACACCCAGGGGGTGCTGACAGTGAATGGGGAAGGGTATAGGGAGCAATGGTCCCTCATAAACAGAGCAGGTAGAGGTCTACATTACCTGACCAGCCCTGTGTGTTAGATACCTCTTAGGGAAGAGGGAGGTTGGGATGCGTGAGTGTGATTAGCCTGAGATAGGATAGTGGACAAGTGGGCTCCAGGACAGGAAACTGCTTCTAGTAAAAAGGAACAAGGCAGACACTGAGGGGTCTCATCCCCAAGCAGAAGAAGATGGGTCTTTAAAGGAAATAAAGAAGGAAACCCAAATTAAGGATGCTGTGGCTGAGTTGCTATAGGTAGGTCATGCAATAGGTCAGGATAGCTGGCCATAGGAAAGCAAATGCTTAGGAGTATCCAAATAGCCTCTAGATGCCCCAGGGCCCAGTGACCCCTCCATGGAGGCCCCTCCTGAGGACTGAGGTTCAAGGAGGTTCTAAGTGTTGGAGGGGATACTTGGCATCCTTCAGGATCACTGTCTGAATCTCAGTCCAGAGCTGGTTACCATGTAATGGAGCCAGAGGTTGCTTTGAGTAGAGAAAGTGGGCGGGGCGGTGGCCTTGAGCAAGCCCAGCGGTGACACTCACAGTACTGCACATGGATTGAGTGAATGAGGCTCGGTCCCTTCTATAAGAGCTGTCTGTCACCCATGAGTTTGGGGGTGAGTATGCTGGAATCAGAGGGATGCTTCAAGACAGGGTTGGCGTGTGTCTAGGTGCATATGGGTGTGGACATGTTTGTATATACAGCTATGGGACCAGCTATTTGCTTAGCTAAGTGCCACAGCCTCCCTACGAAAACCACTGACTGTGGTTTTCAGTTTACTCACATTTATTCCTGATTCTACGCACATGTCTGTGGTAGCTATGGCTGCTGTGGGTACCACCCTCCTTGCCCGAATACTTCTCTTCTTCCTCTGCTGGAATTTTATGGTCAACAGCTCTCAGCCCCCCATCTCCCCTGCTTGGCATCTTTCCAAATAGAGCTCTGCTTGCCCACAGCTGCCCAATGACTTCATGCTGCTATTATGTCGCAGACCCATAAAGCTGCAGGAGCCCAGGCTTGCCAAATGCCTTCTCATTTAGGCTTCAGTGATCTAGACAGGCAGAGGCCCCAGTGTACCCACTATCCTGACACCCCTTTTAGATGCAATGTGAAATGTTTGGAATGGATTTGGGGGCAACCAGAATGAAAGGTTTAGGGGCTGAAAGAAATCTAGTGCTGAATGGTCCAGAAAATAACGCAACCACAGGGATATTATAGACAAGGCTACTGAAGCTCCTCTGGGAGGAAGCTGGAATGACCAGTTCCTTTCAGTAATGGGAAAAGAGTCAAGGCCACTTAGAGCAATGGGAGGGGACTGGGCAAGTCTTTCTCTTGGATGAGTAAGGTGAATGCCTGGCATATGCCATGTGGGCCTGGAGAGGGCCCTCTCCGCTGTCTGTGACTCAGAGGAGAGTGAAGAGGAGATTAACTTCCGCATTTTTTCTTTGGAGGATGTAAAGGGAGGAGCAAGAAGAGGTAGACGTGTGTGTGTGTGTGTGTGTGTGTGTGTGTGTGTGTGTGTGTGTGTGTGAG